GTCAAGTGCGGAAAAATCAATACCTGGGGACTTATTAAAAGGGTGTATAGCTTGAGATGCTGAATAATACTGTTAGTTGCCTGAAGTTAGAAAAGTGACTGCTAAATGAACTTAGTTTCACTGTAATTTATTTTTTAATYACATGTGTATCATGAAGATAATGCTACAGACATTTTGAATGCCTGTCACAAGCAAGCTACAGAGTGCAATCAGCAAAGTGATGTTTACTCAGATATTTCTGATGGTTCATTGTACAAGAATTATTTTGTTMAAGTTCAAAATGAACATGACTGTGGGGATAGCTATCACATTACCCTCATGATGAGTACTGATGGAGCACCTGTTTTCAAATCCACTCATGCTTCTATATGGCCATTATATGCATGTGTTCTTGAGCTGCCTAAAAGGTGCAAATTGTCTTTATTTGTTCAAATTCATTGTTTAAAATTGTCACTTAAAGTCTTTTGACATGAAATACAAAACACAATAAAAATTAGATATATTTTGTATAAAAGACACAAAATCATCATTTGAATAAACGTTTTTTTAAAAACGAAAAAAAACTTTAAAAAAAAAAACTTTAAAAAAAAACTTAAAACTTTAAAAAGTTTATTAAAACTAACATGCTTTTTTGGAAAATTTCCAGATACACAGTCAAGAATGTCCTGCTTCTTGGTCGATGGTATGGGCCACAAAAGCCAGACATTTATGTACTATCTGATGATCCCCTCATTGAAATTAATAAACTACAGCATCAAGGTATCCACCTTTTCGATAAATGAGAATAAATATAATTAATATATAACTAATTAATTAATTATAAATTGCTAATTATTATTATCAATTCTTTAATGATCATATATTATATACTGCTGTGCATGCATGTGTGCCATTTGGTAGTGTAAAAGACTTAAGAGAAGCGCTCTCTATATTTGAACTGGACCTATACAAGATAAAAAAATCAAAAATTTTCAAACTCTGCTTGATTGAAGGTCTTTGGTAGCTAGTTCAAGAAATATCCTTCTCAGTTGGTTCAGATGTATATTAATTTTTTTATGAATTTTTTTGTATTTTAAGGCCCGAATGCTGAGGATACCGGCTACAAATTATGGTACATTTCGAGAGCTTGTACAGAATAAAAAAATCAAACTTCAAAATACTAAAGTCACAGCATTTAAGAACTATTTCCTGTTTACACTTTGACATTTTCAAATTTAAAATCGGTTAAAACTAAAATATTTTTCAGATTTTTCATAATAACGTATGTCGGCGGCGTTTGGTCACGCAAAAATATAGGCAAGATTCAGGATCCAAAATCGCATCTTGGTACATGCCTTTCCATATAAAAATTGTACTCTAACGATCAGTCGTCACCTCTTCTTCGATTTTATGAAATAAAATTTTTGGGTAAATAAAATGCCGAATTTTGCGAGATCCAAATCTGCGAGGTACTTGAGGCAAAATGAGCGCCCTTTTGACCCCGGTCTTTGTGACGTCAATCGTCAAAATCTCCCTTTTATTTCGATTTGAATGGGTTAAATAAGTCGTAACTGTTGCATTGCGGTCTGTTAAGACTGTAATAGTTCATAAGCTTGAATAATAGTACCGTTTTATAGACATTTTGACGTGTATATTGCAACAACAATATGTCATAGTCGAACTCGTATAGCAACAAACTTTGCGATCGAACATTTAATTTTAGTTATCTTTGTCCGATTCACAAGTACTGTATAATAAACTAAAAAGAGCTGATTGCTTCAGAAGATTTACAATTAACTAACCTTATAACGGTGTAACTGGCTCCTGTGAAACCAAAATCAAGTCCGACATGTTGATAAACAATCTGGTCGGCATGGAACAACACAGACACCCCAACAAATAGTCCAGTTTGTGAGGGATGGTCTGGAGGGTCTCAATGGGGTTAACCGGGAGCCGTGAAACGCCTGAAAAGCCCTGAGTCGTGAAAATGAGAAAAAAATAACCGTGAGGCGTGAATATTTTTTATAGCGTGAGCCGTGATTTTTGATCCTCAGAAGGACAGTCAAGAAAATATACCACTAAAAACCTCGGATTTCAAATCTGTCATCACCTCGAACGATGRCCTCGTATCCAGGATTGACTGTATAACTCGCGGATTTAGTCTTAATTACTAAATTATTAAAAAAAAGGTCAAAAAAGGTCAAACAGACAAAAAAAAAACACATTGAATGAATAAATAATGAAAAACGTTGTTYTCATCTTAATAATTTTTAAGTGATCTAGTTAACCGTGAATCTTAAAAAATAGTCGTGAATCGTGAAAGCCAATTTTTTAGCTGTCAGTGTGAGTCGTTTTCACAATGTAAATGTCTAGTTTTTTTCATATTTCCAAACTACTTCTACTCTATAAGTATCATATGATTAGTCATAGTTTTTTATGGCGTTGAGAAGTTAGCCCAACARCCAACCCCCAACCTGGAGGACCAGGGGATCACTCTTTGTCTGGTCCCTATCCTTCGACCTGTCCTGCTTGGATGGCCCCTCTCGCATCGGCATAGATCTAGGGATCAGAGGGACACTCAAACTACCCCACCACGATAAGGTGATGATCCCTTCGGAGTAGATTCCCAAACCTCAGTATGGGGTTACACCTTTCCCGCCAACCACTAGGGCTGACATCCTTCGTTTGGATCTTGTCTGGAGTCAGGTGCATTTGAAAAATTGACATGATGACCCAAACCTCAGTATGGGGTTACACCTTTCCCGCCAACCACTAGGGTTGACATCCTGAGGTTGGATCTTTCCTGCCTTTCAAAAAATAGCATGTTGATGTTTAATGACCAGAGATGCAAGCTTAAAATGACCTTTAGTAACAGTCGAGCGTCATGGCACGTGGCATTCGCATTCACGAATGAGTTCACTAAGCAAAGCGATGTATGGGGCCTTTCGCTTTTTCCTTATTTCTTCAACAGGCAAGTCGAAATGCTCGCAAACATTGCGCAGCAYGGACACACTTAGATCACTCAGCTTCCCAGATGCTTCAAGGTCACACAGGTTGAAGGTGTCAAAACAAATGGGATGTTTTAGTTGAACCTCTTTCAATACGACCATGCGCGTTTCTTCATATGATTCTTGCTCCTCAGCAGCTGCTATGTCTTCATCCAGGCACTCGTCACCTTGTCCTTTTCGAATTTTTGAAGCCATTCATGAAAAGAAGGATTGTACTTGCTTTGGAGTAAGGAATTCAGAGACGGAAAACTGCCTTATTCCTTCTTTGTTTCGAGCAGAGCGCATTTCTGTTGCTACAGTAACTGGGTCGAGCTTGCAGCCTGTAGCCTGGCCAATCTTAAACTTATCTTCCAGGTACTTCCTCTGAGTTTCATTGAAACGTTTGGCCGTTTTAGACGTTCTAAGAGCCCAGCTTTTGGGCGAAGTTGCACCTTGGTTCCGTGTCATGTCTGCTTCCATGGTGACTTTGGAGCAGGCTCCCTCCTCTAGTTTTGCTTGGTACAAACTCTTGGCTTTGTCCATGAGCGTCATTCTCTCGACCACCAATTTACACTTTCCAAACGATATGTGTTTTTCCAGTGCCGCATGGCTTTGGTAAAGTTTGATACATCCMTCCTTTGGACAAGATAGCAAACATTTCGAGGATCCGGCCTGTTGTCCACTGCTCCCTTCTTCGGCTTTTTGTTGATCGTCTTGCCGCTTTTCACTTCGCTTTTTCGAAGGTTCCCTAGTAACCTCAACAAAGTCTCCTGATGAAAATGGTGTCTCAAAATAACAGCTTTCCAAATAGTCTGGAACTGCAAATTAAATTATAGGGTGTTAAAAATACATTATAAATTTTGCTGAAATTTTAACGCAATACCAAAAGAGCACTGCTAGATTTAAGCTAATAATAAGCAAGGGATCTATTGTATCATGCCTCCCCCTACCCCCCGTCTCATCCATCCAGTTTCACTTATATGACGGCTACAAAGGATTTGAACTGGGGAGATACTTGGCTTACCTGTTATGGCTGCTGACTTAACAAACTTCCCCTTTCCGATGTTATAAGCTTTCCAAACAGTAACACCATCTCTCGAGTACTTGAAATTGTTCAGTGTGCTTATGCCATCCAACTTAATCTGAGGTTCGACGCACTTCTTGACTGTAGCATCGACAAGAGTAACCCGCAGTCCTTTAATTCCCATTCCAGATAACATAGATTTCTGGAAGTCTTGTGCAGTCTGTACATCATTTCCCTCGTTGATATACCTTCGTACATGTGCTTTTATTGAGTCGGCTTTCCGGTCGCACAGACCCTTTCCGCCCTGGGGATCRCTAAAATCGACTCGACGTACCTGGATTCCCGTCCTCTTCTTCATAAGATTGCACGCTGCAATCATAGCGGCACTATGATAACACCCGGCGTTATCCTGACGTAGATATGCGTCTGTTATTTCAGGGTGTTCGTCTTTAAGAGTACGGAGGACATGATCAACAATTCGCACGACCACTGTGCTATCTTGGTTGCAGTGTTCTACAATATGGGCCACTCAGGCTACTTAAGGCCTGGGTTTGACCTTATAATAAGACCCCCCACGATGGCCCCAAGGTCACACCGACATGAGCAAAAATTTCAAGATGGCGGAAGATGGCGGGTATGTGAGACGATAGTGATTCTCRTGTTTAAACAAATAAAAGCTTTAATTGTTTTGGAATCATCAAACGTCATAAAGAAGAAAACTCTTCCMGGAAAACATATGGAGTGAAGGAGTTTCTTGGAGGTTAGTTTAAAGATATTGTTGTATTTCTTTCTTTTCTAAACAACCAAATTTGAATTTAAAGCACTCGACTCCATGGGCACGTGGATAGGGTTTTGTGTACAAATCATAACGAAACGATGTCTTTTCATCTGTACTTGATTGATTTTGACTTATCCTAACCCTAATGGTAGTGATAGGTGCTTTTGATT